ACGTTGAAATGGGAAGTCCTACCCCACCCGGCGTATTCTCCAGACGTTGCTCCCTCTAACTATCACTTGTTTCGATCAATGGCACACGGCCTGGTTGACCAGCACTTCCGGTCTTATGAAGAAGTAAGAAATTGGATCGATTCGTGGATCGCTTCAAAAGATGACCAGTTTTTTCAACACGGGATTCGTACGCTGCCCGAAAGATGGGAGAAAGTAATGGCCAGCGATGGACAATACTTTGAATCATAAATGTATAACCAGTTTTTTACAATAAAGCCTCGAATTTCGGAAAAAAAACGGCGGAAGCAAAGTTGTACACCTAATAACAAATATGATAACATATTTATTTACTTTAAATAAAATATTTTTTGAATCAATTTCACTTTTTCTTCAACTTAAACAATTATATTATTCTTTCAAACAATATTCTTCTTTTATTCAAAAGATTCATTATGTTGCTTTTAACAATTTAAATAAATCTTAAAACAAGTTAGGATAAAGTTAAATTGTATGTTACTGCATCTTTTTAATCAAATCTTTGAAGCATCTTAGGGTAGTCATAGCACGTAGAAAAACAATTTTACTTATTCGGAATTTCTATCCGAATAAGTGAATATTGGACATTTGTCTGTCCCGTCTTTCCAAAAATCAGTTCATTATCTGAATTCTCCTCTATTGAAATCGTATCAGAAATGAAACTAATAGAAATAGTTGTTAAATGTTATTAGCTGTGTGTGTGTGTGTGTGTGTGTGTGTGTGTGTGTGTGTGTGTGTGTGTGTGTGTGTGTGTGTGTGTGTGTGTGTGTGTGTGTGTGTGTGTGTGTGTGTGTGTGTGTGTGTGTGTGTGTGTGTGTGTGTGTGTGTGTGTGTGTGTGTGTGTGTGTGTGTGTGTGTGTGTGTGTGTGTGTGTGTGTGTGTGTGTGTGTGTGTGTGTGTGTGTGTGTGTGTGTGTGTGTGTGTGTGTGTGTGTGTGTGTGTGTGTGTGTGTGTGTGTGTGTGTGTGTGTGTGTGTGTGTGTGTGTGTGTGTGTGTGTGTGTGTGTGTGTGTGTGTGTGTGTGTGTGTGTGTGTGTGTGTGTGTGTGTGTGTGTGTGTGTGTGTGTGTGTGTGTGTGTGTGTGTGTGTGTGTGTGTGTGTGTGTGTGTGTGTGTGTGTGTGTGTGTGTGTGTGTGTGTGTGTGTGTGTGTGTGTGTGTGTGTGTGTGTGTGTGTGTGTGTGTGTGTGTGTGTGTGTGTGTGTGTGTGTGTGTGTGTGTGTGTGTGTGTGTGTGTGTGTGTGTGTGTGTGTGTGTGTGTGTGTGTGTGTGTGTGTGTGTGTGTGTGTGTGTGTGTGTGTGTGTGTGTGTGTGTGTGTGTGTGTGTGTGTGTGTGTGTGTGTGTGTGTGTGTGTGTGTGTGTGTGTGTGTGTGTGTGTGTGTGTGTGTGTGTGTGTGTGTGTGTGTGTGTGTGTGTGTGTGTGTGTGTGTGTGTGTGTGTGTGTGTGTGTGTGTGTGTGTGTGTGTGTGTGTGTGTGTGTGTGTGTGTGTGTGTGTGTGTGTGTGTGTGTGTGTGTGTGTGTGTGTGTGTGTGTGTGTGTGTGTGTGTGTGTGTGTGTGTGTGTGTGTGTGTGTGTGTGTGTGTGTGTGTGTGTGTGTGTGTGTGTGTGTGTGTGTGTGTGTGTGTGTGTGTGTGTGTGTGTGTGTGTGTGTGTGTGTGTGTGTGTGTGTGTGTGTGTGTGTGTGTGTGTGTGTGTGTATGCTTTTAGTTTATTTATTAATATATATTAATATAAATTCGTATTGTAAATCTCATCTTTTTCTCTATGTCTATATTATTTGATTAAACCAATTTAATACTAATTGAATATAATGTTTACAATTAGTACGCGTCAAAGGAATCGGTATAAACTAAGCCAATTAAAGTGCGATACTATTAATTTAAACCTAAGATTAACAGATTTAAACATTTAATGCTCCATGCAGTGCGACACTATTAATTTAAACTTAAGATTAACAGATTTAAGCATTTAATGCTCTATGCAACCGGTTGTTAAGCACAAAATTTAGAGTTTTAATAATTGCTTCTTTCAACGATCAGAACATGTAATCCACATAACCAACAATGAGATACTATTAAATATCATCGCCTTGAATAAACTTTCGTGACGGAGTATCAATGGGGCTTGAAGACTCGGAAGTAAGATTGGAGAGCGTTGACATTATCAACCGATTTAACATGAAAAATAACTAAACAAACTTGTTTGAATTTATTTAGTCAGTATTTTATCATTAAAGATATACAGTGTCTGTCATGTAGCTGTTTTAAGAAAATTTCATAAAAACAATAAACATTTTATTCTACTAAATCATTATTTTATTACTGATAATGAAAAGATTTATTTATTTGCAGCATTTATATCGCACAACGAGATTCTTCTCGTCACGTTAATTCCTATAAAGCCTACAATTTTTAATAATACTTTGTCGATGGAGCATGATACACATTCCGAGAATATCTTTTCTGATACAAAGTCTTTTCTTCAACAAAATCCATATTTCATTTTCTCGAGATTTCAGAATTTTATGACAAAAAATAATTATTTCTGCTAAAACTGTTATAATATTTAATTGACTCTATGAAAAAAATCTAACATTAGCTGATGTCCTCGACAAAATATTCATGCTCAAAAAAAAGATTATAAACAATTTAGATTTCGAAGAAGAAGGTATCGAAATATATTAATAAAGCACTAATAGTTATGATTTTTGACGTATGTCGATATCATCTTAACATTATTTTTATTTATATTTATTACACTTCAAAAACTTTAGCAAAATTTAAAATGATTTTGTAATTATTCTTTTTATTATAGAGTCGTAGAAAATTGTCAATATATTTTGAATGAAATACTTAATACAAAGCGATAGAATATAAAGTAGATTCCCAGATTATATCGCACACACATACAGTCCATATTATTTAAAAAATTATTTATGATTATTTAGGATTTTAATTATTTTAATTACTAAAAAAACTTTTAAGAAAGAAAAAAAGAAAAAGGTATAGGATTTATAAACATCGAAATTATAATTAACATCTTCTTTATTTTCCACTAAGCAAATTATTATACCGCATTTATTATAACAAAATATGATAGAAATAAAACCGTGTTTCTACTTAATTTTAAACATAAATTATATCACAAGTCTTTCAACATTGTTACTTATACTAAAACGAGATAGAAATATAATACAACTTGTTTTTCTATTAAATCTTAAGCATATAAATTGTCATAAATTTTTATATTATAATTTATAAAATAGCTATTTATTTAAAAAATTAAACTTATTTTTCTCTATTCAATGCAGGTTTAAAAATAAACAATATCACTAATGTTTGCGCATTGTAATTTAGAATTATAGCAAAAAACTTATCTTTCTTTAATTATAGCAATCTCTCTCTTTTAAACATTAATTATACTATAAAAATATATATCTTTGTATTATAATTTATATAAAAAATGCCATAAAAATAAAACTTCCTTTTTGCACTCATTGCACGTTTAAAAATAAATTCTATCACAAGTGTTTGTACTGTAATTTATAAGAAAATTAAAGAAAAAAAACTTACTTTTCTTTAGAACAGTCTCTTTCTCTCTCTCTTTCTCTCTCTCTCTCTTCGACATTAATTATATCACAAATGTACTATAATTTATAACAGAACATGAGAAAAACAGAAATAAGGAAAACAAAATCTTTTTCTCATAGTACTTAACACATAAGTATCAAATGACCTATATATTAAATATAGCTATGGATAATAAAAAAACTTCTTTTCAAAAAATATATTACTTATTATGACTACGTGGCTTAGATTTTTTAGAAATTTGATTATGGATCCAGCTTCTAATTTGTGGAATAGAGCGACGGCTTAAACATTTGTTTTTCATTTTAACCTCTACCATTTGTTTTCCTGAAGGTAAACGTTGTTCCGTCAATTCTTGTTTAAATGTTGTAATTATTATATTACATTCTTCTTGTGTCCATCTTACGCGTTTTGTCGAACCATACGGTGAGGCTTCATAAAATTAAAATATTATTATTATACAAAATCTTGCACATAATAAGAAATATAAGAAAATTTGATTATTTTCATATACTTACTACTGCGTCTTTTTCTTCCATTTATTGTATCACAAATTATAATTAACATCTTCTTTATTTTCCACTAAGCAAATTATTATACCGCATTTATTATAACAAAATATGATAGAAATAAAACCGTGTTTCTACTTAATTTTAAACATAAATTATATCACAAGTCTTTCAACATTGTTACTTATACTAAAACGAGATAGAAATATAATACAACTTGTTTTTCTATTAAATCTTAAGCATATAAATTGTCATAAATTTTTATATTATAATTTATAAAATAGCTATTTATTTAAAAAATTAAACTTATTTTTCTCTATTCAATGCAGGTTTAAAAATAAACAATATCACTAATGTGTGCGCACTGTAATTTAGAATTATAGCAAAAAACTTATCTTTCTTTAATTATAGCAATCTCTCTCTTTTAAACATTAATTATACTATAAAAATATATATCTTTGTATTATAATTTATATAAAAAATGCCATAAAAATAAAACTTCCTTTTTGCACTCATTGCACGTTTAAAAATAAATTCTATCACAAGTGTTTGTACTGTAATTTATAAGAAAATTAAAGAAAAAAAACTTACTTTTCTTTAGAACAGTCTCCCTCTCTCTCTTTCTCTCTCTCTCTCTTCGACATTAATTATATCACAAATGTACTATAATTTATAACAGAACATGAGAAAAACAGAAATAAGGAAAACAAAATCTTTTTCTCATAGTACTTAACACATAAGTATCAAATGACCTATATATTAAATATAGCTATGGATAATAAAAAAACTTCTTTTCAAAAAATATATTACTTATTATGACTACGTGGCTTAGATTTTTTAGAAATTTGATTATGGATCCAGCTTCTAATTTGTGGAATAGAGCGACGGCTTAAACATTTGTTTTTCATTTTAACCTCTACCATTTGTTTTCCTGAAGGTAAACGTTGTTCCGTCAATTCTTGTTTAAATGTTGTAATTATTATATTACATTCTTCTTGTGTCCATCTTACGCGTTTTGTCGAACCATACGGTGAGGCTTCATAAAATTAAAATATTATTATTATACAAAATCTTGCACATAATAAGAAATATAAGAAAATTTGATTATTTTCATATACTTACTACTGCGTCTTTTTCTTCCATTTATTGTATCACAAATTGAATTTGTATCTGAATTATCACTATCTGAATTATCATTGTCTACTTGAAGTGTTTTATTTATTGTAAAATTATTTTCATCTGAATTAAGATGACTCTGCGAGTCATCTTGTTGAATATCATCTTGTTCAAAATCATGTTTTTCACCTTGTGCTATTTTAAGTAATCGAGACATTTTAACTATTTCAATTTGTGGAATAGACTGACGATAATGTTGCATGTGAATACTTTTGTCATGGCCTAGATAATTAGCTAATTGTGTTATGTCAGGCTCTGACAGATTTAATGTAATGCACCTTGTTGCAATATGCTTGCGAAGGTTTGTACCTCGTAATCTAAGAGGCATGCTTGCTCTACATTCTAAGGAATATGTGCGTAATAAATCACATGCTCTTATATATTTGAAACGTTTTTTATCATAACCGGGTAAAGCAAAGATATATGGGTTTTTTTCAGGTATATTTGCTTCCTTACGATATTGTAAGAGCAAATCTATACAGCTTTTCATTTCAGCATCCAAAAGAACTGGTACAGATCTTCCCAATTTTCCTCTAATGAGAAACCTTACGTATCTTTTAGCAATCTGAAATAATTATTTATTTTATTACTTATGCAAATATTTATAAGAAATTATTTAATATAACTGCAAATATTGTTAAAATGTTGAATTAACAATCTATTAATAGTACTTAAACTCTTTTAGATTTTATTAATTAATATCATTTAAGAGAAAGAGAGACAGAGAGAAAGATTGCATCTTTCTCTATATATACATTGCAACATACAACTGTTCAATAAAAAATATGCTCTATAATTGCAAGATGTAATCGATAAAACATAGATTAGGAAAAAATATCTCAATATATATTATAAACAAATATACAAAGTTCAGTTTCTGTGTTATATCATCTTTAATTATTAGAATATGTAAGAATATTTGTAGAATAAAAATATAAGAATATATGTAGAATATTTAATTATAAGAATATGTAAATAGAAATTTTAAATTTTTGAAAATTGGACACAGATTTAAATATATAACATTTTAAAATTCGTTTTCCAAGAAATTTTTTCTTCCTTTTGAAAAATCTAAATTTATATCTTATAAATTATATTTTATAAATTATACTTTATAAATTAAAAATAATTTGGTATGTAAAAATTGAAATATTTCTTTTTATGGATATATAAAAAGAAATATTCCATTTTTTATACCAAATTATCTTTAATCTAGATCATATTAGATTAATCTCTAATATTCTTATAATATATTATTATAATTAGATAAATCTCTAATATATATTTAGATTTAATATATAATATATGTTTTATGCCCGTATTCATAGTCTGTTCTTATATTTAAGATTGTCTTAAATACAAGTCTTAAGATGTCATAAACCAATCACAGAGCCGTATTAGCATCTTAAGACATTACTTAAGACGGTCTTAAATATAAGAACCGATTATGAATACAGGCTTTGATCTGCATTTTGTACTCTCTGCATTGCAAAATAATTTATTCTATGCATGTGATTTTATTGATTTATAACCTTCAAATCTTTGTAGTTTTCTTATATAATAATCATATATAATAATCATATACAGATAAGAAATACCAGACATAAACATACTTCTTGAGCTTCAGGCGATAAAGATTCATATAAATCTGGATTTGTTTGTGCATTTATATCTTCCTGATGCTTGTAATCATCGATAGATATTCCAACAAAAATATTTTGCAATCCTACTAATATTCGCATTCTGTCGGTATCCGGCATCCTCTTAAAGCCTGCTACTTTATTTAGCTGTAATACAATTATCATATATCGACGGATGATAAATACTGTAGAAATCTGTTACATTTTTATTAATGTTTTTGAGGGCTTGTAAAAAGCGCCCTAATAGCCTTAAACGGGATCTTATCATATCTTGTTGGTGCTGATGCTTGTATTTCAAACATAATTTATTACCATAAATAATTAATAGTTCATCATATCTAATTAATCTGATAACATCATCTTCTCTTAATACTGGAAATACAACATTTCTTAAAATAGAATTTGCACACTCATGAATTCGGCCTTGAACTTTTCTTCCAAGTATGTTGACACATCTGCCAATAGTTTTCTGCGTGCACTCTTTAAAATGATGACGTATATTATTTTTAGTAAAAAAGCCTTTACATCCAGCACAACATATAAAATCACGTGCAGTTCTCTTTTTTGATTCTGTCGGTCTTCTACAAACTATAAGTTCTCCTTTATTATATGTAGGATTTGTGTTAAATAAATAATTGCCTCTTCGTCTGAGAAATCCGATAATCTTCTGTCTTTCTTTATTACCTAATATAAAACATAACACTTGTATCAAAAAAGAAATAAAAAGAATATAATTAAGTTAATAATATAATACAATTATCAAATATTTATATATGTTGTTATAAAATAGTTTTCTCTAGTATATCTATTAAATAATACATATAATAATATATATTTTTCAATTAATTTGCTCTAAATATTTTTAATAAATACAATCTACATGTAAAAATTTCTATTATGAATTAATAGTTCTAATAAAATGATAAATGAATAAATAATGTAAATATAGCTGCTAGATAACAGACAAAATAATACATAGGAAGATTAATAAATCGAAAATATATATTTCAACAACATATTTTCTATACCTTTTGGTAATGCAGCAAATTTTTTTACTTCTTCTTCATCTTTATGTACTCGTTCTAGGTGCCTACTTATCTTTGACTGCATTTTCTTGCAATAATAACAAAAATTTGGTTTTCCTGTACCTCTAAGATTTGAACATTTAACATGTAAATTAGTGTCATCACAGATTTTCTGTCCAGAAACATTTAACGATGTTTCTAAACTACTTTTTGTAATGTTATTAGATTCTGTTGAACACGATTGTACAAAAATATTTTCTTTGTTAGAATCTTCTGAACCTGAATAGCAATAATGAGGATCCTTGTCTATATTATCACTGTTACAATCGCTATTATCATTGTTACAATCGCTATTATTAGGAGAATCATTTACATTAGACGGTGTTTTACGAAATAGTTTCAAGTTGTTATTAGTATTATGTATTAGTTTTGCCATATCCATACTATTATTATTTACTTTATCTCTATTATTATTCTCAGTTTCTATATTATTATCATTATTGCTTATATTAATATCACTGTTACTGCAGCATTTATCAAGATTATTGTTAACCACATTATTTTCATCTATACTGCAATGACATTATTTAGAGATATGTCTAAATCATGTAATTCTTCAAATGAAAACATCACTGTTCGATCGAAATTGTTGTCTGATGTAGAATTATTATTAGTATCTTTTTTTTCAAATTGATTAAGTATATCCTTATATAAATTGTATTCTGGCAGCATAACATCAGAAGTAGATTCATTACGAACAACAGTATGCGTATCAACATTATCATTGACTGTAAAACAAAGACTCATTTATAATTGACAATAACATGTTACAGTTTCTTAGTATATATTTTTCATAATATAAGCAAAAATTACGATTCTTACCAATGTCTTTATTTAATGGCACGTCTGGTATTTCCAAACTTAGATTTTCACTTGTATTTATACATAAATTATATTCTTGCAACGTAACATTAGAAGCAGATTCATTTGGTAATAATTCAGTACTGATATTTTTGTCAAACTTATCATTTTGTTTTGTCAGTTCTTCAATATTTATAATTTCAGTAGGAAGCGTTTGAAAATTCTCTATTGTGTCAATAATACATTCAGATTCATCAATTGCATTACGAGCAACAATATGCATATCAACATTATCATTGACTGTAAAACAAAGACTCATTTATAATTGACAATAACATGTTACAGTTTCTTAGTATATATTTTTCATAATATAAGCAAAAATTACGATTCTTACCAATGTCTTTATTTAATGGCACGTCTGGTATTTCCAAACTTAGATTTTCACTTGTATTTATACATAAATTATATTCTTGCAACGTAACATTAGAAGCAGATTCATTTGGTAATAATTCAGTACTGATATTTTTGTCAAACTTATCATTTTGTTTTGTCAGTTCTTCAATATTTATAATTTCAGTAGGAAGCGTTTGAAAATTCTCTATTGTGTCAATAATACATTCAGATTCATCAATTGCATTACGAGCAACAATATGCATATCAACATTATCATTGACTGTAAAACAAAGACTCATTTATAATTGACAATAACATGTTACAGTTTCTTAGTATATATTTTTCATAATATAAGCAAAAATTACGATTCTTACCAATGTCTTTATTTAATGGCACGTCTGGTATTTCCAAACTTAGATTTTCACTTGTATTTATACATAGATTGTAGTTTGACATGACATTAGAGATAAATTCATTTCGCAATTCAGTACTGAGATTTTTATCTAACGTATCATTTTGTTTCGTTAACTTTTCAATATTTATAACTTCAGTAGGAAATGTTTGAAAATTCTTTGTTGTTTCAATAATACATTCAGATTCACCAGTTGTATTTTGAGCAACAGTATCCGTGTCAACATTATTATTGACTGTAAAACAAAGAATCATTAATAATGAACTATAACATGCTATATTTTTTCAATATATGTTTTTCTAATATAACCAAAAATTACAATTCTTACCAGCATATTTACTTAGTTGCACAACTGGTACTTTCAAATTTAAGTTCTTAGCTATTGTATCAAGCATTTTATAATTATCTGTATCAAAAAGCATTTTATATCAATTAGTACTTTCTTAAAATAATTCAGCTAAAACTAACAGGAAGAATGCATCTACCAATTTTGTTAAAGTTGATGCAACATATAATCTTATTATATTTACAGAATTCAATCTATTTAAAAAATTGTCAAATTTTGTACTACTACTAATGAGTTGTAGAATTATAAAGTGTTTATAAATTAGAATATGAACTACCACATTAGAATTTTTGTAACGTAACACTTTTATAATGATAAACATTATAAAAATTAAGCGTGGAATTATTTCATGCGTATATTATACAAGATGTTAAAAAGTTTAAGACATTCAATGCAAATAATTTATTAAATTAAGTATAATTAAAAATTTCTTAATCAGCGTAGATCAAGATATAAGTTGCTTTCCATTTACATCAAAACTCAGATAATTCTCACTTGTGACGTCATAACTCAGTTGAATGCACGTTCCTTTTGATGCTAGCAAGTGAGATTCAACTGAGTTTTTACGTGGTTTCTGCACACGATCGAGACCGTGTGCTTTAGTGAGTCTAATAGACTCACACTAAAAGTGAGGTTATGAATCTATATAATTATGTGATAGCTTTGTTACCAAAATAAGCAGGTCAATGACGTCATTGTCTGAGTATGAAATACTCACATAACTGAGTGACTCAGTATCAGTGAGTGCAAATGGAAAGTAACTATTATTGTATAATATTATCCAACATTAAAATAAAATACTCACTATTCAATACTATTAATTGTTTCCTTTTCCATTTTTTATTGCGAATGTGAACATAATACTTATTTTTTTGATATTTATATAGACCATACATTTTCAAATGGATTATCGCCGTATACTTTTCTTTTATTCTTGCGAACCTAACCACAGATCTATAAAGCGCGCGTAAAAGGCACGCGAAATAGGGCGCGTTCAGCAGAACAAACCGCTTAGAACGCGTTCCACTTAACGATCGCAACGCTCGCGAGCATCATCTGTCTTTGTTTAACTTTCAGTAAACAACAAAGATGAAATGATACCGTGAGCGTTGCGGTCATGAAATGGAACGCGCCTTTAGTAGCAATCCAACATAATTAGTTCTTACTTTTAGAGCCAACAAATCAACGTCGAGTTGACAAGGCGCATTGATGTTTCTCGCATATAACGAGTTGGTTGCTGAACCATTTAATGAATCCATCTCTTAAAATACAGCAATCGGTAAAAATCCTACATTGTTCAAAAACTGCATCTTTTTCTGTCCTCTGTATTATTAAATTTATGACATCAAAATTTTATAAATTGTATATATTATAATTATTAAGACAAGGCATTGCAACGAGATTGTTATATATAATTCCCTGTGTCCTTCGCATTAAATACTTTTTTCGCTTATATTTCGGCAATAATACGAAAAACAGAAAAAATGCAATTCTTGAACGACGTTGATTTCTTTAGCGATTGCCATTTAAAAGATAGACTCAAATGCGAAAGAACCACAGTTGTTTACGTCACAATTTCAATCTGTTGTATAGCTCTAATAGTCAAAAATGTGTTAATTGAAAAATTTTAATGCGTCAATCCTAGTAATGCAGAGCTCGTAAATTAATGTCTTTCTCGATTGATGTCGATATCTTTAACGGTAGCCGAGATTTAAGTGAAAAAATATATTAGACGCGAACGACCCAGGCAAAGGCGTCGCGATTTCGGCTC